AGCATAGACGGCGGGGCCTAGAGACAGGCGGGGCCTGGTAGAAACAGATATGTATACCGAGCGGGGCTCGATGCCAGGCGGGGCCTGATGTCGGACTCTGTTCGATGCCGGACGGGCCACAGCCTATGTGATTATGTGTATGGTATGTGGTAGCTTGGGGAGACTCACTAAGCTTCGTGCTTACAGTTTTCAGTTTTGGTTTCAGGTACTTCTAGTAACAAGGGGAAGAGCTCGGGATGACTGCAGTGCACACACCATTTATTCAGTCTGGGATGTTTTTACTCTGATATATTGTACATATATTTATGATGTATTGAGAATAATGACTTATGACTTTATGTAATGTTTTGATAACTATTGTTTTATTAATGATTTAAATTGAAATTGTCGGATTGTATTTTTGGGATGTTTCAGTATCAAAGCACGTAGAGAAGATGATCATCATTTTGATTTTGAGGTATGTAACCGATGCATCAGGGTTGTTTTTAATTAGTTCATCGTTCTTCTTCATTTCACTTCTTCTTCACCACCTACAAAATGGTCACTGGATCCCTTCTTCATAGTTCTTTTTTGCTACAATTTTGTTGGCATCCAGTTAAGTCTTATGATTTTTAGGATTTTTTTGTAGTCCAATTCGTTTTTTTATTCTCCTTTTTCCCTATTTTACTTGACATTTTGATGTTGTGACCTATCTCCGCAATCTGATTTCGCGATTAAGACTAAGGGTATTTTCGAGTTAAATGATGCGATTTTTTTGAATATGCTTGATTGGATTTTCTTCTTACATAATATACCAATGTCTTGTGTGATTTCGTTATACTGTAAAGCCCTAATTCGTATTTTCCACATGATTATTTTTGAGCTTTACACTTGTTGAGTTAAGGGTTAAATTAGGACTCTTAGTGAGCAGATTTGTAATTTGGTAGTTGCAACCATATTTCATTTTTTACTTCCTTTGGCTATTGCAAAATTCCAACATTTTGAATTTCACTTAGCTAGATTAATTTAGTTATTTGATCTTTCTCATGTTCAAATTCGTAGGAGGATGCTTTAGAAATTTTTTGGGAAGCAACAGATTATGTTGCTCAACACATTTCCAAGGACACTTGATCTTGTTAAACTTCTAGTGTTCTTTCCATGCAGTAGATGGTGTTGTTTATATGGAAGAAGTCTGTGTCTAGCATGCTTTTTATGATGTTCTCTTTTTTGATAGATAAACATGTTGTTCATGGGACTTGTTAGATACCTGAGTATTGATTAATTACAAATTTTAAGAACAAGTGGGTCAAGAATTCTTAGGGAAGCTGCATCTTTTTTCCAATGCATGCAAAAAAAATATATATATACATATATATATATATATATATATATATATATATATATATATATTACCTATCTGTGTAGCCATTTTTTTCTTATTGATACAGGTTTATTCTGTAGTTTACTAAATGGGTTGCTATAAATGTTGAAACTTTATTAAAGCACTCATTGTTTTTATTTGTTTGTAGATCACAAGACAAATAACTCTTAACGATAATTATAATTTATGATCTTGCAGAAGGCTGGAGTTGTAAGGGAATAAAAAGCCAAGATTAAATAAGGAAACCACAGCCTAATTAGGGCTGGCAAAATTATACGATAGAAAACCAACCAACATGTTATCAATCGAACCATGAAACTTGGTAACCAATATATTTGGTAGCCAACATGTTTTGTTGGTAGTACCGTACAAATTTATCAATATTGGTACGGTAATGGTACAAAAATTGGAATACCATGGTAATACCGTACCAACCAATTCATTATACATACATACATACATACATACATACATACATACATACATACATACATATATATATATATATATATATATATATATATATATATATATATTTCAACTGTTAATTGTATTTGTTGTTTACAGTTTTAAATGTATTTATTGTTTACAGTTTTAATAATATTATATTAGTCATTTGGTCGTATTAGTCAATAGTTATTACCACGTTAAAACACAATATTAAAATGTTACTTTAGCATTACTTCAGTATAATTTTTTTGTAAACTAAAAGAAAACGTAACTAATTTCTATACTACACATCAAAATCCCGATGTCTTTGCTTATTTTTAAATCTTACAATAGAAAATTAAAAGAAGTTGGTATATACCATTATCAATTTGAACCAACCAAACTTGTTTGTAGCCAAATAAATTGGTACCAAGTATACATTGTACGGTACTAGTAGTAATTTTTTTATACCAATTATAATTGGTACGGTACACGGTTTAAAGAAAATTGAATTGGTACCGTACCAATTCCACCCCTAAGCCTAATATTGGCTTAGCTGGGACAATATATTAACAACTTCAAACATTAATCCTGATAAAGATATGATTTTGTTTCCTAATGCAAGATACCTTTTTTAATTATTTTAAATAAGGTATAAAATGTAAATGATAATTTATCTTTAATTTATCTCTAATATAAGATTCTTTTTTTGTCCACATGTCCTCATTTTACAACTATTTTTGTCACATAACACATCTTCTAGCATTCTACTCAACTTTTTCTCGCTTAAATATTGTTTTAATGTAATCGGTAATATCCGTTAACATCAGAAATTTTATTTTAAATACCTTATCTTATACCAAAAATACCTCTAATCAAACATAATTGAAACTCGCTTAATCCCTATTATTTTGCCATCGGTTTTGACAGCTTGTTTGTTATACCAATATTTTTAGAATTTATTTATGTAAATAAAAATAATATAAACGTATATAATTTTAAATTGAAACCCAAAAAAATTAGGGTCAAAATAAGTCATGCTTAATCAGGTCTTCTGCCATAAATTTCAATCAACGGCGCCAAAAACTTTGATGCGCACAAAAATACCTACTTGTTTTAATTTTATAACCTAACTAACTTAACTAATATATGTACATATAGGCAGTGTACCTAGTCGGATTATAAAATAGCTTGGGTAAGTCAGACGTCGAACACAAGGAACAAAATTTAATTAATTAAGATAACTACTTCTAATTAAACTAAGAAAACAAACTTAAATTGGGTGTTTTTACTGATTTTGCAAGATCAGAAGAACTTAATTCAAATCACTACCAAATTACCAACTAGGTAAGCAAATAAAAACAAATTTACTTCAAGATTAAAGATTACTTCTGTTCAGTTCCAATTTTCCCTTATCTTATGGTTGATTTCTAGTGTATTAAATATATTTATCACCAATTTGTTAACTACCTATTATGATCAAATATCTAGACATACCAATTTATGAATTACCATTCAATGATCAAGCACAAGTTAAACACCACATCGATAACGATCACAAATTGGACTATGAATGATAGTAGTTACTTTCCTATGATCAATTTAAACAGCCAATCACAAATTAAGATTAATTATACTCTTTAACACAATTAAAGTTACTAGCTTTAATTAATTTATCTAAGATATGACTAATCTCAGCTCTATTTATTTAATGACATAGGCATAAACAATTAGGTGACAAATTCATGCAATTAGAATAATCAACTATCACACAGAACTTGATGTATAAGCAATAAAAACTAGAACTAAAACATGTTAGGGTTTAATTATCAAACACAAGTAAAATCAACATATATCATCCATAAATCAAAATCAACACATAAGGATTAGGTTTATCTTCCCCAAATAGAAGTATAAGGTTTTTAGCCTCTCATAATAGTAGAAAAACACACAAAATCGATGTAAATAAGAGTAGATATGAGTATGTTAGCAAACCGATTAGAACTATGTAGAATTCTTCTATATCTCTTCAACTCTTGAGCTCCAATCGATTCTAGATCTTCTCTAAGGTTTCTAGAGGGTTTTAGTCGCAATCCTTTTCAAAAAATCGATTGTTAGTCCCTCTATTTGACCTAATAACCAAATATATATATATTATTTATATATATCTACCCACCACGATGTAGCCAGTGAGATTTGTATGAAAGACCATAGGGGTAACCCATAACACTTGTATGTAAGACTTTGGAGTAGCCAATACACTACAAGGGAAGACCATGGGGGCAACCCATGACAATGGTATGAAAGACCATGGGATGACTCATGACATTTGTATGCAAGACCATGGGGTAGCCCATGATATGTATGGTATTTGGTATTTTGGGGAACTCACTAAGCTTTGTGTTTACGGTTTGTGATTTAATATTTTTCAGGTACTTCTAGCATCAAAGGGAATGGTCCGGCTTGACTGCACCGCATCTCCTGATTACTTTTTCCGTATTGGTTACTTTTGAGATTCTTTGTTTTTTCAAAAATACACTTTTACTTTATTTGGTTTTGGAACAATTGGTTGTATGATTCGATGTTTAAAATGAAAAATTTTATTGTCATTTTGGAATTACACAAGTTGGTATCAGAGCTTTGGTTTAAAGGATTCGGACACACTCTCGAGTATGTCTGAACTCAAACGGAGGAATTAATAATCTTTTTAAAGAAAATAAATTTTCTAAAAATATTTTTACAAAAAAAAAACTGGTGCGATGCGTGCAATCAATCAAGCTCAAGTAAATGATTCTCAGAATACCCATACATGTTATGTTATATGTTTTGCATGCTAAAAGGTAACATATGGATATGATCAATGTTGCATAACATAGGGATATGATCAATGTTGCATGCTAGAATGCCTATTAGGAGAGATGTCTATTAGAAATGATGCCTATTGATGCTTTGTGGCTTATAGAGTTCTAGTGCTCGAATGTTGCTTGCTTTGTGCTTTGTAGGCCTTATATCGAAGAAGCTGTTAATGAACGAGACGTATTCTTGTTTTTCTTAAGGAAATAAAGGAAATGAAATGTGATATTGAGTTTTTTTAATGAAGGGGAAGGAAAGGAAGAAAAAAAAAAAAGGATTATGTATTTTTCCCTTGGAAGTTATCTGCCCAAATATGGACCGATTCCCTCCCAATCCCTTCCTTCCATTCCATTCCATTCTATTTCATCCCATTCCATTCGATTTCGTAATGCCTAGACCAGCAGCAACATAAAGGAAAATTAAAAGATTCTCAAAAACACAAATTGTTCCTAATTGTCAAATACTATGGTCTTGGATAAAAAAAAAAAAAAAAAAAAAAAAAAACACTATCACGAACCATTCTGCAGGTGGATGTACAAATGTCAATCTAGAGAAGCAATTAATTACATTTTAGTTATTGAAGCTGATGATTCAACCGGAAATGGACTTAATATCCCCATCTTATAGCATATATCCAACCCACCAGCAGCAAAAATAAAAATCAAAACATTCTCAGAAACACATACTACTCCATTCAAAGCATTTGACACCACGTTTCCAGTTTCTTGTTCTAAACACAGCCTTCCATCCAATGTAGCAAGTCCTGCAACACGACAAGTTTTCAATTTTCAACCTTGTTTAAATGATCCTTATAAGTATAACAACAAGATTGATGATGATTTGTTCAATTCAAAACACCTTTGACGATTCCAAAAGCTGCACACGTTCCAATTTTAAGATGAAAATCATCCAAGTCTCTTCGGACAGCATACCGGAATGTTGCACCATATAATGCACAGATGCTTATGGTGATTGCAGTTGACACAATAAGCTCGTAGGAATTGGTCATATGAGTTAGGGAAATGGGGAAGCTTGCCAAGGTCCCAACAATGCCGGAAATCAATGCAGCTTTTACGGATTCCAACTTCTCTTTGTTCTTGTATATCGTTTTTCTTCCATTCTCAGCTTCTACCGTCTTCAATGGAAACCCTAATTTCTGTTACCATAAAAACTCATAATTTTATGGTAAATAAAGAAGAAACGGACCTCAAAATCCCTTGTTTCAAGCTGATTCATGTATTCCATCGTCTTCCTGGCTTCAATTTCTTGCTCTTGGGCCTCGGCCAACTCTTTTTTGGCCGATTCAACTCTCTGTGTAGCTTTAACCAATTCATCTACTTGCTGGTCCGCTATACCTGATATCACGTTCTTCAGTTGACCGCCATTGGTAATGAAGTTGGAGCTTTTCGTATCACTAATTCGATTGATGTTAAGGGGGCTTCTGCAGTTCACGATCAACAGAGAATACCTTGAGGATGAGGATGATATTAATGGCGGTGAAAGCAGTTTCAATCGCGTGAGGAATGGAGTTTCTGCAGCAAAAATGGGAATGGGTGTGGTTGCCATGCTTTGTGGATAGCTGCCCTCTGTTTGTGGGGTATATATTACCATAGCAAAGGAGTTGCTTTATTTTCTTTTTGATCTAAATTCATTTCGTGTTTGAGTTCTAAAGAATTAAATTAAATCAAATGGTTTGTTTATATATATTGAACTGAATGAGATTTACTTATTAATTTATATAGTTATACTATAACTTAATATAAATAAATTTACTAGAAAATTACATGATCAAGACCATTTTTTAATATAACGCAAAATTTCCACACATTTCTTGTATAAGTTGTTCGATAAAAAAACACATTTCTTGTATAAAGAAATTCACGAAAATTCATGTGTACGCCTTAGAAAATGTTGCCAACAAAGATTTAGTGGAAGTTAGCATCAACTTTAATATGGGAGCGACATCCTACAAAGAAGTTAAAACTTCTAGAAACACAAAGCATATTCAAATAATAACGATTCACTTCTACTATCATCATCAAACAAAACCCCCATACTTTTTGTTATTCTTAAGAAGACGATTGCATGGAAACACTTAAGACGAGGGGTTTTACGTATAAATGATAATTTATCTAAGGTTGTGAGGAGTCGAACGATAAACACAGTCATGCTGAAGACACACCGCCCCCTCTTCTGACAGGAGGCAAAAAAAATGTCTTGCTCCCTCCTTCTCACCGTGTCCTTCCTTGTGTGTCGGGGTGTTGTTAAAGACACCTAAAAATTAATCAAAACTAGGGATGCAAATGAGCCGAGCCGAGCCCGAGCCTGGTCAGGCTCGGCTCGGGCTCGTTTAAGTTATATAAGGCTCGAGCTCGAGCTCGGCTCGATTCGAGCTTCCTTGTACTGAGCTCAGCTCGAGCTCGTAAAGAATTATACAAGCTCGGCTCGGGCTCGGGCTCGACTCTTTTTTTATTTGATGTGTCTAAATAAGCTTAAGCTCGACTCGAGCTCGTTAAGAAGCTCGTTTACTAATACCCTAAATTCATAATTCCCCTAATATATTTTTATTTTAATATATATAAATAATATTAAATTATATTATATAAATGCTCGTTTAGGCTCGTGAGCCTAATCAAGCTTAATGACATAGGCTTGAGCTCGAGCTCGTTTAATAAACGAGCTTAATATTAAGCTCGAGCTCGGCTCGGGCTCGTTTAGAATCGATTTCGAGTCGAGCTTTTAACGATCCGATCTCGAGTAGCTCGCGAGTAGCTTGGCTCGTTTGCACCCCTAATCAAAACCACCTAATTATCTAAAGTCCAAACCACCATTAAATCTTTAAACCAAAATTGACAAGGCTGCATTTTGTATATTTTTTTATTTTCTTTCTTAATCCCATATTATACGGCATTTTTTATATATATTTTATTTTATAATATATTTATAAAGATTAAATAATTTTAATACTTATTACCCTTATAGTTAAAAAATATATTCAGTTTATACTCTTTTCTATTTAAAAAAAAATTACTTTCAACCATTATTAATATATTGATATTTCAACTTTTTCAAACACATGTATACATACGAATGATCCTTGTGTTTTGGGATAATTTTTGAGTTTTGTCACCAACTTTTCTTCTTAACTCAGATCCTTCCTATTACATCTTTTTGTTGCACGGTTACTTCGAGCTAAAAAGACTATTATGCCATTATTAACTATTTTAATTAATTTTTTATTTACAAATTATTTATAAAATTAAAAAATAATAACACTCATCACCCCATCAATTTATCTTCATTTTTGTGCAATTGACCACACCCTTCCATTTGGTATTAGCAACTAATAACTATATTTACATTTATGGTCCTTTAACTTACCCTACAGTTACAATAAATATATGATCTTTATTTTAATGCGGTGTAAATGAATACCACTACAATCAAATCAAAATAATATAACTATACTTACATTTATGGTCCTTTAACTTATCTTGTATTTATAATAAATATCATATCTTTATTTTAGTGTGGTGTAAATGAATACCACTACAATCAAATCAAAATAATATAATTATGTTTTCATTTATGGTCCTTTAACTTATCCTATAATTTATATAGTATTCATTTTCACGCCTAAAGTTTTACTATAAATGAATGTGTCCCAAATATCATTTTCATTGTACGATAGTTTGAAAAATGATAGGCTAAGTAAAAGAAAATGAGTTTGCCATAATATTTGTCATTGTTTGATGAGTTAAATTACGAGGTATGTTCGTGTATTATTTTCACGCCTAAAGTTTTACTATAAATGAATGTGTCCCAAATATCATTTTCATTGTACGATAGTTTGAAAAATGATAGGCTAAGTAAAAGAAAATGAGTTTGCCATAATATTTGTCATTGTTTGATGAGTTAAATTACGAGGTATGTTCGTGTATTATTATTCATATATTTATGTTTTTATATATCACATATTTATATTTATAATGGGTCTAATCAATTTGATTTAAACCAGGAACCAGAGAGACACAATACATTTTCGTTTCAACAACCTTCAACATTTTATTCAATTTCACTTATGTGTGAAATTCCAAATGAATTTCACCCATACGTTACAAACATTGAAGATGTGGAGGGAGATGGAAATTGTGGATTTTGGGAAATAGTTGTCTCCCTCGGGTATAGTCAAAATTATTGGCGTCAAATCCGCTCAGACTTATACAACGAGTTATTAGAAAATTCGGAACGATATGCAATGATTTTCAAGATGATATAAACAACGTACAACACGTTTCACTGGATTTGGTTATGCACAAAGTGAATATTGGTTGATTATGTTGGATACTGGATTCCTCATCGCTAATAAGTATGGTGTAATTGTCTATTTTATAGACAAACAAGGTTCGTCGACCTGTTTTCCGCTTTGGCATGGTCCGCAAGACATCTCACATCATAAATCTATTGTTATCGCCTTCGTTTATAATGGTCATTACGTAAAAGTTGATTTACAAGAATCATTTGTCACTTTGGCGTCACCACAAATCAGACCGTGCCGCTAGATGAGAAATATTGTATAATGTTCGACTTAATACATATATTCCACCGAATGCACCACGTGATAATTGTAATATTTATGTAGTTGATGTCCCTGATAATTAATAAAATTAAAATATGACATTGTTTGACAAAACGGTGGTAAATGAAAACGATAATTTTATTTGTTATAGTCAGTGTTGTAAAACTCGCCGAGTTGGCCGAGTACTCGCTACTCGGCCCCTTACCGAGATGAGTTACAAAATCCGAGTACTCCCCGATCGGACCCTTGTTGAAGCGAACACTATTGTAAAACTCGGCCAACTCGATGATTAATATGTATAGTATACTTAATGATTTATTATTTAACACACACATATGTGTGATTATTACTACATATATATATATATATATATATATATATATATATATATATATATTAAATTTTCAATAATTATTCACAAAGTGGGATCATTGTGTGTTTTTTAGTTTTTGTGTATTCACATGTATCTAATTTTGTTATATATTTCATTCAACTTATGGTTTTAACTTATGATTTTGATATATATAATTTCCCTAAAAATATTTCTATATGAATTACCGAATCCGAGTACTCCCCGGGTACTCCCAATTACTCCCCGAGTACTCCCGAGTACTCGTTACTCGGTAGTCGGCCGAGTAGGTACCGAACAACGAGTTCTACAACCATGGTTATAGTTATGAAAAAATATCATATTATATTTTTTATTGTTCGTTTAATTATTTGTGATCGTTGTTTTTTATTGTTCGAAACGTAAACAAACTCGAATTTATATTAGGGAACAAAACAGAAAATCAGTTAGTGTTTTTATATGAAAGAAGGACTAAAAGTGTAGTATTGTTATATAATAATAATAATAAATTGTTAAAAGAGAAATGAAGACTAAGTTAGTGTTTTTATATGAAACAATGACTAAACGTGTAATATTCATAAATTATAGGGATACAACTTATTAATTTTTAGATTAGGGAACAAAACTGAAAATCAAACCAAAACATAAGGACCATTTCTGTAATTTACTCTAAACAAAAACATTAAAATAGTTTTGAAATCGCCCATGTTAATCTGTCCTATATACCATCATTACATTTTTAATATTTTTTTAATTAAGTTTACTATTAATGGTTTTCAATAGGTGGTTTTGACATTTTTTCGGGTGTATTTAAAATCTCCCGTAGCATAACTGTATACTAATACGATCATTGTCGACAAAATAAGAGCATTTGGTAGAACCGGTGAACTACACTACTTCTGGATAGATGCGTGGAACAAAGGGATTTTGCAGATGACTAACTTCCATATGCGAAAATGTGAAATAGTCAATAAAAGTGCCATTTTAGTACAATTATAACAATATTTATTTTCATCTACTATCTTCTTTTCAACTAAAAATATTTACTTTTTATCTACAACTCTTATTTGAGTACTACACAAAATGTTTTAATCATAGTATTCTCTTATTCACTATAAAGTAAGTTCATCTGAAATTGATGTTTGACATTATGAAGAGAAAAATTGTTATATTTGTTTCGATGTTAACTCATTCTAATGGCCCTAATGAATTACTACCAGCTAAGATGGATGCAGGTCCTCAATGAATGCACATACATTTTAGTAACATAGTTGCAAGAAAAGCTAGAATGTAAAACTAACACTAAAAAAACTTAAAGAAACAGAAAAGTGGATTGGTGGTGTGGATGCAAAGACTGACAGATTTAGGGCAACCTCCTCCCTCCAACACACATCTTGTTTTCTTTTTAATGGAATTCAAAGTCATGAGTGATAACTGAAAAAGGAATTGGTTACAAATAGGATGGTTATTCTGTAGTATATTTGCTTCTAGAAAATAGCTAGTCAACCACCAAAGCTATGACAATGCAAGAAGAAGCTTGAAAGACGGATCTATAAAAGGTGTGTATTTTAAAGCTCTTTTTTGATGATTTGGTTAAATATTTACTTTGTATTTAGTCCATAGTTTTCTTATTACATGTACATTACCATGCATATTGTACCATGTTTAGTTGGTGTTCTCAACTTCCTTCCATATATTTTCCACCTCTTCCCTTCTTAATAAGTTATCTTTTTATTGCTAGAAAACGATTACACATGTCTCTATCATGTATGAAACGATGTTTTCTAACCAGGGCAAGACAACAAATATGGATTACTTCACTGCATAGAGTTGTAAGGAAGATTGGGAATTTGATGAGAAGATTGAATTTACAAAATTCTCATTTTTATAAATTTTCTAACAAAGTATTTCATTTTTTTTTTAAATAAAGACATGGCTTTTTATCAATGATGTCAAGATTTCAGGATTTTATTGGAGATTTATCTGATTTTTTACAATAACATTAGAAGAAAGCTGACCCAAAATGTAATTTATAAGGAAATAAAATGTAAAGAGGAGATTAAAGACCAATTGTTGACCCAAAAGACCACTCTAAGCGAAACCGAAGAAATCAATAATCAATAAACCCCGTATAAAAGTCGTGGGCTGCCTCTTTGAAACGACCTAGGCATGTTTACGGTCGCTACAAGATTACTCGCTCCAACTAGACTTCTCATTGCTAACAAAAACTTCACTTTCTCAATAATGGCCGCGGCTACTTTCTCCGCAAACTCGCCGTCTTACACTCCTCTGAAAAGGGTTGGCACCCACAATGGAAGCTTTCACTGTGACGAAGCACTGGGCTGCTTCATGATTCGCCTCACCAACAAGTATTCCGGGGCCGAAATCGTACGCACAAGAGATCCGCAGGTTTGTTGAAGCACACCAACTGTTTGTTGAAATGCGCAAGTTAAAATTCTCTCTTTTTTCTTAAAAACTTGACTTGGTGGAAATATTCTATCCGATTGTAGATGTTAGAGACTCTTGATGCTGTTCTTGATGTTGGTGGAGTGTACGATCCCAGTCAAGATCGTTATGACCACCACCAAAAGGGTTTTGCTGAGGTTTTTGGACATGGGTTTACTACTAAACTTAGTAGTGCTGGTCTTATTTATAAGGTAGACTTCAAAGTTGAAACCGATGTGTAATCTTATTCTAATTCTTTTGCTTTAGCGATCTAATAAGCTGTTATCGTTTGTAGCATTTTGGAACAGAGATAATTGCAAAAGAGCTTCAGGTTGATGAAGGGCACCCAGATGTGCAGAGGTTATATTTAGCTATTTACAAAAGCTTCATGGAGGTGATTGTTTATACTTTATACTGATGAATTACATCTTCTTTTCTAGTTTCTCAAAAACTTGAAGAATTTTCTATTTGTTACAGGCAATCGATGCAATTGACAATGGAATCAATCAATATGACACTGATCAACCTCCTAAATACGTGAACAACACTCACTTGTCATCAAGGGTTGGAAAATTCAATCTAGACTGGACTGACCCTGATCAGTCTTCTGAGAAAGAGAATCAAGCTTTTCAGAAGGCAATGAATCTTGCAGGCACTGAGTTCTTAGATGTGAGTAATTATTATACACTATTGCTTTTTGTATGGATTGAAGAAAATGTTTTCTACTTGCTTACTTTTAATTTATGGTGTTCACAGAGTGTTCGATTTCATGTAAAATCATGGCTTCCAGCTCGCTCAATTGTCATGGAATGTCTTGCAGCAAGAACCAATATTGATCCTAGTGGAGAAATCATGGTTTTGGATAGATTTTGCCCTGTAAGTTTTTCATTTTTGTTAGATACTTTGGTTTATCAAAACCAGAAATTTTGATTTTATTTTTATTGTTAACAGTGGAAGCTTCACTTATATGAGCTTGAGCAGGAGTTGAAGACAGAACCATCTGTTAAATATGTTCTCTACCAGGTATCCATTCATTATATATATATATATATATATATATATATATATGTTATGTTTATTTTTTAATTTAAATTATTAATATTATTCTCTTGTACTGATAACTGGAATAAATTTAAAACCTGGCAGGATGAAAGGAGCAAAAGCTGGAGAGTGCAAGCAGTAGCAAAATCTCCTGATAGCTTTGAGAGCAGAAAGGCTCTTCCTGCTCAATGGAGAGGGTTGAGAGATGATGATCTTTCCAAGGAATCTGGGATTCCGGGGTGTGTTTTTGTGCATATGAGTGGCTTTATTGGCGGGAATCATACGTATGAGGGTGCACTTGCCATGGCTAGAGGTGGCTTAAAGCTCTAAAAATGGCATCTTCTTCTACTTTATTCGCCCCATTTTCAGCTTTCCAATTAAAAAAATTTATTTATCTTTTCACAAAGTGTATTAGATTGTTATGCAAAGTATGAGACAGGTGGAACAGTTGGCTTATTCAGAGTTCTTTTTTCAAGTTTTATGTTTTTATTTCATTAGTAAACATTTTGGCTTGTGCAATGTTTTGGAAGGAATTGGAATCTGTGTATTCTGGATTTGCAATCAGAAGGTATTATGTGTTTGGTTGGCAGAAACCGGAATGTAATTTGTTTGGTTGGCTGGAATTGGAATGGAATTTGTGAGCAAGAAAAGGGAAACAGATGGAGAGGTGAGTGATGATTTCTTATGAAATTCTAGTTAAAAAAGTATATGGATTTTGTAACATTGAAGAATTAGGTGAAATTGAATTCTATAATGTTAAAATCCATGGGTTTTTCGTTTTTGTCAATTTCAACATAATTTAATTCCTTACTTATTTGCAACAAAACAAGGGATTGGAATACAATTCCGACCAAACTCCATGAAATCTGGCAAACCAAATGTCCAAATGCCTCTAGTACAATGTACAGTGTCACGTGACTTTCGCGTGACCTGTGGACACTATATAGGAAGATGTAATCAGATGTGCTCTAATCTTGACGTCGCTATTCCAATCAAACTCAGCTATGGCGACTCTTACTTTCTCAACTTCATCTCTTCACACCAAAACCCTAACAAGAAAATCCGTAGAACATTTCCCCTGTAAAACCCTAATACACCTTCCGAAGTCCCCCAATTTTGAATCTCTGAGCTCTGTCATCAAAAGGAAAACGTTAATCGGTCCTCCGATCAGATCCACTACGACCACCATCTCCGAGAGTTTATCTACCACAACCGCCCCACAGACCCTCAAATCTCGGCTCAAAAATGGCGAGACTTTGTACGGTCTCTTCCTGCTCTCCTTCTCGCCTACACTTGCTGAGATCGCCGGTCTCTCCGGCTACGACTTCGTTGTCGTCGACATGGAACACGGTCCAGGCGGCATCTCTCAAGCTCTCTCGTGTCTCCATGCCCTCGCCGCAGCTCGTACTCCGGCGATCCTTCGTTTACCTGACTCAGACGCAGCATGGGCTAAGAAAGCTCTCGATCTTGGACCTCAGGGTATCATGTTCCCCATGATTGAGAGCCAGAAAATGGCTAAAAGAGCCGTCTCCTATTGTAAGTTCCCACCAAACGGAGTCCGTGGCTCTGCTCATACAATCGTTCGGGCCTCCGATTACGGAATCGACAATGGGTATCTAAGCAATTACGAAGAAGAGCTTCTGATCATGTGTCAGGTGGAATCGGAAGAGGGAGTGAAGAAGATTGATGAGATTGCAAGTGTTGATGGAGTTGACTGCGTGCAGATGGGACCGTTGGATCTGAGTGCGAGTATGGGGTATCTATGGGACCCTGGGAATAAGAAAGTAAAGGAGATGATGAAGACGGCGGAGAAGGGAGTGCTGAAGAAGACGGGGAAAAGTGGTGGTGGTGGTGGTGGTGGAGCTTATCTTTCTGGTTTTGCAATGCCGCACGACACGCCGGAGGATCTGAGGTCACGCGGATATCACATGATTTCAGGGGCAGTTGATATAGGGTTGTTCAGGAGTGCGTGTGTGGAAGATGTGAAGAAGTTCAAGATGAAATCGGCTGATTCTGATTCTGATGTCGACGGTATCGAAATTGCTAAAGATGGTGATGAGAAGTACTGGAGTGAATGACTTGATTTGTATTTCTTTTTCTTGTTCTTTCACTTCATTAAACGAGTGATCCTTTCCTCTTTTTGTTCAATCGAATGCAAACTATTTGAATCCAATAAATCCCCAACTAACGACATCTCTGGCATAATCTTGATTAATAGACCAAGATTAATAGTAATAGAGAAACTCTGTTAATGGAATGCAAACTCTGTTAGTGTACTCTAAGAATAAGAACAGATGAAAACATGGAGTTCATATTTCACTGAAATATATCTTTTTGATCATCAGAAGAGACGTTTAGAAATTCCCTGTAAAGCTAATCATTAGGTTCCTCTCGTCCATCGGATGATGGAGAAGGGATGCCCATTACTAAATTTGTTGAATGTGAAATATAACCAACATATATCTTTTTGGTCAAAGGTTGAATTGATTATCAGAACAAGAATTGGGATTGTTTTTTGTTCTCTACAAGATTGTAACTGTAAGATCATGGTAGTTTTTGTTTTACGAGATTGTAAATGTAATTTTACAAGATTGTAACAGTAAGATTGAATCAAAGAGTCATTTAAAACATAAAAATTACATTTTCATCTATCAATTAATAACAATAATGAATAAACAGTTTAAAATCTCCAATACACCATTTAGCAATAAACAATTCAAAATAAATTTTTTAAAGCTCGTATTCGATTAACTTAGTTACGATTTTATTTTCAATCTTATCCAAAACAATCTAAAGTTGATCAATATCGATTTACCTAGATGAGATCTTAAAATCTTAGGAAGAATATCGCAATTTTAACAATATTTGTTAAATAAATAAGAAAAAGCAAAAGTTGAAGAACATAAGGGCATGTAGATCCTTGATCCCTATATGTGGATTAGAATTGCAAACAGAAAAAGCGATTAAAAAGTATGTCATGTTTGATTCGAGGTGACATCATTTTCTTTTAGAAATAACCATTACTAATTTATAAACGTTATCAATAATAAAGTGTAACTTATAAAACTATAAATTAGAAAGAAAAAAAACATATAAGCAAAATATGTTGTTAATATTTAAATGTTATAAATTTACTAATGAAATAACTTCAATAAATAAAATCATAAAATTTAAAACAGCACATTGTATATTCAAAAATCCAACCAAACCCGTTTAATAAAAAAACTAAATTTTTTATGTCTTCCATCTATAGAATTAAACCAAATCAACTCATTTTTTCACATCCATTAGCAATCTAACCTAAATCAATTTTTTATTTAATAACCGTTCCAAAAAAATTATTTAATAAATATAGTTTATGATTTTTTTATTATTCCACTAAAAATTTAGAAATATTAAAAATAATTATTTTATTTCAAAACAAATAAATTTTTACTTAAAATATAAAGTAAATAAAATAAACATAATATTATTTTACGTTCATCAAACATACTAAATAAAAACACACCACATATTATTTTATATTCATTAAAGAAATATCTTTATCGACATATTATTTATCATCTTTCAAGTGTTTTCTGGTATTTTCTCAGGTTTGAATATTTTCAATTACAAAAAACTAGGAGTTTCATAACCGTAGAAGTTCGAATAACATTTAGAATCATCAAAATATAAAGAAAATTTGGATAAGGAAGATCTATTAAATAAAACCCATTTCAAAGAAAATTTTATATTCATTAAAGAATAAAACCCGTTTCAAAAGAAAAAAAGAAAAGATGAATAAGTAAGAAAATGCCCGTTTCAAATCTGATTCATTAAATAAAACCCATATATGATATATGATCGGGTCCAATACCATTGGTTAAGATCAATGTTCGTGTTTATGACAAATGGGGTGGTTTCCGGAATCACAAAATTTGTCTTAGATCCCAAGTGGAACATTTAAATCACTTTTTGAATTTAATATTACGCACCTTGCGTAATATTAAATCTTCCAAGGAACAACTTTGATTCTAGGCATAGACTGAAAGTCATGAAAAACTAGATGTTTTCAGACAGAATTTGGATTCTTTGATCTACCAAAAAGTGCTAACGAGAACAAACTAATCTTAGACAAGCGTGCACTATGCATCCCCCTACTTGTATAGAATCAATGTTTGAAATCTTACACATTCCATTACACAAAAACTTGGTAAACACTAAAATCACCAACAATACAAACTGCTTAAAAGTATGTACGACTAAGATACTGCCTCATGCTTCATTTTCTTGTAATATAATTACCACATGGTCAATAAATATAACACGATATAAAAAAATTCCAAATGTTGTGCAAGACATCTAAAAGCAAAAAAGGTGGAAAAGATGTTGTGTACGCTTTAGTCTCTCTTATAACAACAGTAAGGCTATCATCCTATGGCTTCGTGCTTTGCTACATTGACATGTGAGTGGTGTCATCAAGATTCATCCATGGGCTTATTTGATTCAGCTCCATAGTTGGGATCGGAAGAAAAATGAGCAGACATGGGTTTTGATTCACTGAATGGACTTGGACTTGTTGTATCCACTTCCATAGCAGACGCCCTTGGCGGAGATGCTGGCTGCACCTCAACCTCCGGGTAAGCCGCCTTAAATCTTGCCCTCAGCCCATCATCCACCAGCCGTGCACCACTCAACTGATTACCAAGTGACATCCACCTAATAATCAATCCATCATTTATCAAATCATCACATAATTTTCTACAAACTTGGAAAAATATAAAAAGAAAAAAGAATATTTTACCCTGCATGTGTGTTGTGCATTCGAGCAAACAATTCCAGCTTTCTTGTTCTTGGACTTATCCTCTCCAACAAAGGGTACATCTGACACAAACATAAAACTTTTTATTTTAATTTTTTTTTTTCAAATAAATAAATAAATGAAGGAGTGTGAATGAAGGTCACCTCATCAGGCTTACGACTTGTTTCTCGAACCTCTGCAACAATGACATCTGTATCAATATTCCTGTTGACAATTGGATCTCCTTTAATGCCAACAAGGCAATGTTCTTTGCTATGATTCAACCAATGACCAGTTCTCCCTGTTCTTATTATCCTTTGAAGTTGATTCGTCTTCACCCATATTATTTCCTCCACTCTCTTATATCCCCAAAGATCCAAACTACAACAAAATTAAATCAATGCAAACATTCAGCATCATATGTAAATATATATATTATATCATCATTCAAAACCATTTAAAAATTGATATAATACCATTCACGTCCTAGTTCCATTGCTCTTCCTGTTACCCAAAGAAAGATAAGACCATCAGTCTGTAAAGCTTGGATATTCAGATTCCTCATCTCATCATCAGCCATGGTGCCATAAGGTAACTCCATATGAATGTCCCATGGTGGATCAGCCATTATCACTCCGTATTGTCCTAATATGTCCATTCTGAAGTTACGAATGTCACAGTTAATCCACTGTGATTCACCAAGCTCCACTTCTGAACAATACTCAGCTCGCTGAGGCTTTAATGGCTTTGAAGGTCCAGAAACACCCATCATCATATTCATGTGTGCCACGTCTGGTGTTGAATCAAGCTCATAATGCACATACTTGCAAGTCTGCCAGATATATAAACACACACACACACACACACCAACTCAATTACTCAAATCAAAACAAAAAGATTTACATCATGATGATAATGATTTCACCTTCATGTGACGACAGGTGTCAAGAAAAGAACAGTCGCCAAGGTTCATATCAGTGTGGACAGCAATTATCCGCCTGAAATGAACCTTTTCACAGGAGATGAAAGAACCAGATTGGCGTCTGCAGTCTTCTTTGGTCAAAGCTGTACAGTATTCCTTTACTTGAGAACCACCTTTGCTTTTGAACTGAAATAATCATAATTATGGCGTTATGAGTTCTGTTTTCTTGTGAATGCGATTTGAAGAGGAAAAAGAAGAAGATGAAACAAGAACCTTTGCAGCAACGGCAGTTTCCTTTGCGGTAGGACGATGGATGAGGTCCAACAACTCCTCTCCTGTTTTTGATTTCTGTAACTCCTTGAAAGACTTTTTATTAAGTAAAGCTTCAAGATCTTTAAGATCGTCCTCCTCTGTTCTCGGTGGCTTCCCGTTTGAACCACCACCGCTGCTATGCATCGGTGAATACATCCCACCCATTGATGGTGGTGGTCTATGCATCGGGTTAACACCCATTCCTCGAGGCCTCCCTAGCATCCCCATCATACCCCTCGGCCCCATTATCTGACCGCCGCCGAACTGACTAGGGTCTCCTTGCCCCATCCAACCGCCATCGCCGATTGTCCTAGAGCTTTGCTGAATCGCATTCCCACCACTTGAATTATTTGAATTTGATTCGTTTTGTTTACTCTCTGGCAACTCTTTGACTAATTTGGTTCTATCGATCCCCTTCACCAAAACCCTAAATTTCCCATTCACTTTGAACTCCTCTAACTGAACCCCGCCGTTGTCCTCTGCCATTGACCTCAACGCCAACTCCACCGCTAGTATCGTCTCCCCTCCAGCCACCTCTCTCAACGCCGCCTTCTCCGCCACCGTAACAGACTGGAAACTATCGCTCTCCAACTTACTCAAAATCGACGCCGAATCAATCTCCGTAAATGGAACCCTCTCCAACAAACAAACTGCCACCATTGACCTCACAGTAGCCAACGGCGTAGTTCCACTCCCACCTTCATCCCCTGCAAAACCCTCCGTCGAGGGTTTTGGCTGTAATTCATCGGAAAGTTTTGAGATTTTGATCGGAGGAGCAGGGGGTGGTGGTTGAATGCGTCGTCTAGTATTAGGGTTAGGAGCGGGAAGAGGGCTGGGAAGAGGGGTGAAAGGGCGGCCATTGAAGGAGGAAACGACCTTGAGATGGAGATCGAGAGACGAGGTAATGTCTGGAACCACACCATATTGTAGAGAAGATATAATTTCGAGCTGAGAATTGCGTAGCGTTTCAATACGAGACTGGATTTGTTGGCGGATTTCTTTGATGTTTGCAATTTCGTCCGTGCTATCTGATTGAGGCTCCATTCTTTTTCTTAGGCGACAAT